AAAAAAAAATATTCCAATTTCCAAACTTCCAAGTCTTATTTATATCTTAAAACTTATAGAAATAGTGCACTCAATTCAATTTTCTAGTGTAGATTGTGAAAAAGGTTTTAGCAAACAGAATATTATAAAATGTAATGTAATGGAAAATGACATATTGCACATATTAATAATGGTTGGTTTAAAAGGTACTGATTTATTTGGTTATGATTTTAGTGATGCTCTTAGTAAAGTTTTTCAAAGTAAAAGTAAAGAAATTTTAGCACCCAAAAAATTTTCTTCCGGAAAATTTTTAGCATTCAGGAGGAACTTCCTTTTTTTTCAGACCCTATTTCCAGCCCTGATCAGGAGTATCATAAGTGCTATCAATATTTTTGAGTTTGTTTTGTTCATTTTGGTTCTTTGATTAGTAAATAATAATAGATAAAAAATCAATGAAAATAATATGCAACATATCGAAATGGAGAAAAAAAAGTAAATTTGATTTTATCGGAATTGATCTGTGTAACAGTCTTAAAGTAAAAAAATTAAGGTAATGTCACCATTTGCGGACGATTTCCGGGTAGGTCTGACCTTTATCCCTGTGTTCAAAGGGATACAGCTTTAGCCTGGCGAGGGATAAATATAAATACATGGATATATCTCTGATCACCTGGTCTGTAGATCTTGAGTGAATTATCCAACTGATACCCAAAGATCGATAAGATTGATAAGGGGGATATCCCTCTTATATGTTTTCCCAGGCTGAGGCTTTATCCCTACGAACTGAGGGATAAAGGTGTAACCTTTCAGAAATTGTCCGCATGGGCTGGGTAATGTGCAGGCAATTTTATATAAGTAATAAAATAATTATTGAAAAATATTGTCACCTTTCTATTACTGTCTTCACTTTTTTCAAGTCAAGGGTAAACTTGTAACCAATTTGGGTCAAAATCTTTCACATACTTTATTTAGTTCTTGTCTGGTTATTTCCTTATTTTAGTAAAATTCCATTTTCTTGGTTCTTATATTAATATGGTTTGCTATTTTCCTTTAAATATCTCGAAACTTTACTAATCAAAGTGGGTATAGTTACTAAGCTAAAATTAACTCTTGTGAAAAATTACATATAAGTACATTATTAACTCAACATTGAGATTTTGGCAGTTAGGGCAGTTTCTATTTTCCGCGCCCCATATATGAAATTTATATACAGTGTGTTAAGAAAAAAATGGTGGTGACAAAAAATTGCATATTTCAACAATTACATAACATAATTAAATAAATTTAGATTCGTTTGAAAGTTTATCAAATTACCTTGTTAAATAAAAAAAATAGACATGATATGCTATTGCCAATTTTCTGTAAAGCTAATTCATATCTTTTTTTTAAAACTTTGCAAAATTTTTGTCTCTGAAATTTTAACATGGAAATTTTTAATAATAAGCCTGACACAAAAATATACATAATAATCATACAAAAAATTATACCAGTTTGTAATAAAAGTTCTGGAGATTATATCTATAAACTTTCATACCTCCAGATTTTCTAGAATTTTGTCAATTGGAAATAAAAGAAATTTGATTATTTTGAAAAAAACAATTCAATGTGTAAATTCCTTTAATAATTACCATAAAGCCTACATAATAACATGCTTCAAAAATTTCATATGTTATAATCTAAGATCCTCTGATTCTCTGGTATAATTTTCATCATATAATTTTGGCTACTTTTTCATTAAAAACAATATTTTTACTAACTGCCATTTTTTTCTTAACACCCTGTATGTGATCAACTATGTTTGTAAAATCATATATATAATGTAGGACACCCCAATAAGTCATCATATAAAAAGTTGCTACACTGAATATCTTACTAATAATAGTAAGATAGTTTCCTTTTTGGTCCATTTTTTTTAAATTCTTGAAGATCTTACTGGTGTTTTTTACAAGATCACTTTGTTATTATTTATTAATTTAAAATTACAGTGTGTAACAAAACTTTTTGGAATTTTTTATTTGTCCATAGCTCAAAAGTTACCGCATAAAAATGAATGAAAAATATGTCAAAATAA